ATATATACTACTCCGTACACACGTCATACACGATCTCGTGGGGCATCTTCCAAGCAATGATCAGCCTCGACTCCGGGGTTCGACACGTCCATTACCGATTTGATCGTGCACCAAAATCATTTGCGTTAGTTCCAACCTCGCAAGGTTAAGTGGATTGTAATCGGCGCATGGCGCTTCCAAGGATGGTCAACTAAGAGCTCTTGAATCATCTTCATTGATTACTTGTATACTCTGAAAAATCCACTGTTTAATAGTAAATGGGAGTTGGCTAGACTGCCCCAGGTATTAGGAGAGTAATTCAAGACATGTCTTCTGGCTAGTACGGGTCAAGTACATAAAATGATATATGTATATAGTCTTCATGTTGAGGCCAGTACCTACCAGTACAAGCTGAGTGTTACTAGCGACATCTGGATGATCCAACAAAAGCATTGGTCATACGAAAAGAAAACGCTTTACCATTGGTAAGACAAATTGAGCCCTGGAGGTGTAATAGTCAAATTTTATATTGATGAAGATTGATACTCGCTCACGGTTTGCTAATCCACTAGAGCTAAACCAATCATCGGAAATAAGGCCCATCAAACCTAACCACAACAGCTGCCAGTCCACTGAATCGGTCTCTCCTAGCAAATCTACCTCGAAGGACAGATCACGTTTGGGTTGTAGTCGGCTTCTCCAAAAGCCCTCTGGTAAATCCAATGCAAACACGGATAGCATGTTACGCATATTCTGCACATCGGATCGAGTGTATATCACCGGGCAAAGTTGAAATTTTTGTGAACCAAAACCTTAGAAGGGGCTCTGCTCTCATCTCCTTCGACCCAATTTTTGGAACCTTTATTATAGAGATAGCTCTCTGTTGTCCGAATTTTCGGTCACTTTTTTTCAGGTTCCATTTCCATTGCCTTGTTCATATATCTCTTTCTTGTCTCTTGTTGATGTCTCTTGTCTTTTATTAACTATCGCCTCTTCTGATGTCTTGTCTCTTGTTATCCATGTAATTTAAGTCTTGAGATTCAGCAATGAAGATCAGGTAACCTCATGATGTTAAATCTTAGATATGTCTGTCTGTATGTCTTTTTTCTGTAGATAATTATTCCCTTCATTGGTGATATAGCTAGAAGGATGAGAAGAAAAAAAATGAACGGAGAAAAAAGCAAGATAGAAAAATTTGTTGTCACCTATGTTGACCATTAACTACCAGATAGATGCGGCCGTCATCTTCAGCACCCGCCACACTTCTATTGCAAAAGAGACTCAAGATCAGCAACACGAGTGCCTCTATCCTCAGCCTTCTTCTTCGCAGTCTCCCGGAAAGCAGCAAGCATAAGGCCCCTCTTGCGCTCTTGGATCGCCAACACCCGCTCCTCAATACTATCCTCCATAACCAGTCTCCAGACCGTCGTCTCCCGCTTCTGTCCAAGCCGATAAACCCGATCGACAGCCTGATCCTCAATCGCAGGCGCCCACCAGCTGTCACACAAGATAACCTGGTTCGCTGCAACGAGGTTGAGACCAACACTGCACACGCTCAGACTTGCGAGGAGGACGGTACACTCAGGATCGTTGGAGAAAGAGTTTATGGAGTTGTCGCGTTTCACAGATTGCATCTTTCCATCTACGCGGGCGAACTTGATCCCGCGCTGCTCAAGGTGTGGCTCGATGAGATTCAGGAATGAGGTCCATTGACTGAAAACTACGGTCTTTGTGCCTGGCGCCTGGCCCTGGGCAGTCAGGATCTTGACTAGGGTCTCGATCTTGCTGCTTGGACTGTCCGGGTCGGCCTCAACGATGTCGGTGTCCTCACCCAGTTCCACAGCTGGGGCGACGAGTGTCTTGGTTTCCTTGATATCTGCGCGACAGAGCGGACACTTGTGCTGGCGTTCGATAACCTGCTCGATGCAGCCCCGGCAATAGGAGTGGGCGCAGGCGGTTATGACGGGTTGCTCAAGGTTGTCGAGGCAGATGGCACACATTTCTTGGCTTTCTATCTGGAGCTGGAGCATTTCTTGTAGAGCACGAACGTTCTCAGGTGTCAGAGGTATGACTTTGTGTTCCTCCAACATGCCCATGAGTTTGTCAACGCGGTTCTTGCAGAGCGCCCAGTGATTGCAGACTTGGCGAAGACGGAGGAGAACCTCGAGGAGGTGAGAGTACTTTGTTTTGCCATCTTTGTCCTTGAAGTCGAGAAGAGCACCTTGGGCCTCGGTTCTATGATTGTTATTAGTAAGGTTGTTTTCACCGTTTAGGTAGTCACTCGATACATACTGGAAAGCATTGTACTTCTCTTGTTCATGGGCATTGAACTTGATTCGAATGATACGAGATGTCATCTCGGGAAGCTTCAAATTGATGAAGCCCATATCCTTCCTACGGCGTAAGCAGATCGTACCCATGAGAGCCTCCAGAAGCAGTCGAGCCTCGGGCTCTCCTGCAGTCAAGGGCCGAATCAAGACACTGTTGAAGATTCCCAGATCTTCTAGGCCGCCGGAAAACTTGAGGAAACGAATTTGCGCATACAAGTCCTTGAGAGTGTTGATAATGGGGGTTCCGGTCAAGGTCCAGCGGGAGTCGGCTCGCAAACCACAAGCCGCAAGTGAGGCCTTGGAACTGGGGTTGCGGATGGTATGACCTTCGTCAAGTACGACACGGCGCCAGTGCAGCGAAAATATGCCCTTAGCCGGCGCTTTGTTGGCATTCGGATTGAAATCCAGGGCCAGGGCTCCGTAGCTGGTGATCACAACGTCATACTTTGCCAAATTTGCAGCTTCCTTCTTACCAGAGCTGTGATAGATCAAGACACTCGGGGCGGTTTCTTTGTGGGCATGGTCCTGGATCTGATTTCTCCAGTTGCTCATAACACCGACAGGGGCAATGATCAAAGTGGTCTTAGAGGAGCCTGCAGTGAGAGGCTTCGGATTTGCAAGAATCAAAGAGATGATCTGAATTGTCTTGCCCAGGCCCATGTCATCAGCAAGAATACCACCGCTGGCGAGGGCTGGCTCTGTGGCCGTGGCATAATTTGTTGCGACATTGAGGAACTCATAATCTTTCCGTTTCCACAACTGTACGATATCGTCGGAGCCCCTTGCGGGAAGGCTTGGCGATTCTTGCTTGATCATCCAAGCTAGTCCTTGGCGCTGATACGGAAGCAACTGGGTGGAAAGGCCGGCTGGAGTATCGACCATCGGCATATTGACCAGGTCAGACTCCTTCTGTCCGAAAGTCTCCACAACCTGGCCAATATCTCGGGGGTTGAAGGTAGAGCTCTGGTTGAGGAGTTCCTCCAAGCTCTCATTTTGCTCGCCACCAAGTCCCGTTGGGGTTGAGAGGTTCGCATACTCCGAGTTCTGGTTGGCTTGCCATTGCGATGCAGCTTTGCCAAGAGCCATGGCGCGAGCTTTCTTTGCGGCCTCCTTCTGCTGTTTCTCTGCTTCTTTCTCTGCCTTGCGTTCTTCACGCTCCAACTCGTTCAGCTGGCGAACAGGAAGCTTGTCTTTCTGCATTCGTTGTTTCAGATCGGACCGTTTGGTAGGATCGCGACTTCCAAATAACTTCAAATCCACCGGACACGTAAAATCTCCGATCGCCCCAGTCAATGTGCCTTCAATGATGAGATCGCGAGCATCCTTTGATAAGGAAGGTTAGCAATGCCTCGGAGGCAATATGATTGGGGGTTTCTTACCATGTATGATGCTAGCTTGGCAGCCATCTGTCGTGGAATATGGCCAATTTGGGCGCCCATGACATTATCCACTCTGATAGCATTGCGATCATATTGATTATTGGCATCCCGATTGATGATGACACGTTCATCTGGGTTGGCACGACCCCTATAAAAACGTACACCAACGATCTTTGTAGAAACAATACCTATTTGGGGTTATTTAGTATAGTTTACAGAGTACAGGTAAGGAAGTGAGTCTAGTAAAAAGGAGCATACCATAGAGGATGGAGCTTGTTAGAGAGGTCTCATCCACCTCCTGAGATCCTTGGATCACACCGAGCGCTTCTTCATCATCTTCGTCGGCACCAACTACTTGCGATAGCTGATTCAGTGGCATGAAGTCAACAGACGCGCCAACTCTCTGGCCTGAGGTGGTATCTTGGTCCAATGGAATGTAGTCGACAGTCTCGCCGAATCTCTGGCCTGAGCTGGTCGCTTCGGTGTTCAAAGTCGGAGCTGTACGAGTGGATTTTGGCGCTCGTCCAGACTGTGTGTACAAGGCATCTTCGGTAGAATCAACATTAGACTTGCGTTTTCCTGCCATGTTTCTCCAGCTTCATCTAACACAGTCGATACAAGGATTGGCAATGGAGATGGGGAGATTGTGGGATGTGGGAGAAGAGCAAACGTATCCAGGGGGCCTATGTTATTTTCCAAAAATCCCCTGAACAGTTTGTCAATGGCACAAACGAACAGACGTAGATTCAATTATTCAGGGCTGTCACATTACGCCATGTAATCGATTGGGTTTAGCGCCCGACGCGTCAAGACACGGCCCCACGTGACTGAGATATCCCCGAGGGGAAATATACACCTGGGCATTACAGCGCCTATATACCAATATCACATTGCCAATTGGTTTGAATATACAGGTTATCCGAATAACTACCACCCAACACCCCCTGGTTTTATCTGTGCCTTGCATCAATATCCTCACGTATCTGATATGCGAGCTGTGTAGTACGATACACATAGTAAATCCAGAGATCTTGCACTTTATCATCTCTCTGGTATAAACTTGACATATTTGTAACTTGCTGCACTTCCTAGGGTCCGTCAGAAAGCGACCTTGTAGAGGTCAATATCCTCACAAGCACTATGTTAGGAGGGGTATATACGTCCTCTCGTCCCCCATTTCAAGTCTTCCCTCCTTTTCTCCCCACCCTCATTGCTCATCGATTCTAACTGACGTACCCAGCATGGCTCTTTGACGGAACTCAGAATTTGAGGCTTTTCATGAATTTTTACCAACACAAAGTCATAGTTGATAATGTCTCTAGCAAAGCGTATCAAGACCATCGGCAGCATCAATCACTACAGATTTTATCAGCTCCTTCGAGAACTCGTGAAATTTAGCGGGTTGCTATGGCTTCCCAACCACCGCCTCATTCCATAAAATCTACAGCAGTAACCCCACTTTCCACCACTCGCGAGTCGTGATTGACGACTTTGCCGTTGATCAAGCCAACTCCGGTCATACAAATCTCGCCCTTGGCCAGAAGCAGATCCGGTTCTCCATTGTGAAGTGTGCTGTAGATGAAGCTGTCAAGTAGAGTCCTGCTCTTGCCAATTCCGAGAAGCCCATTGTGGGGGGGGAAAGCTCCTCGACGCCACGAACCTGTATGACATCCCCTTTGGTGGGTCATCCGCCTCAAACGGACCCGATGTGCGGACGTGCTCAAGATGTCTCAGGTCTCACGAGCGTCAATAGTAGCGTGGCTTAAAAATAAAGTATAATGTGTATCTCACCCCTTTTAGTGTCTATGTCACCGAGTTAGGTATGTGCTTCTGTCTAGATGCAGCTGTCTCCTATAGCTATAGACACATAGTCCTAGGTTATACATAGAAAAGTCGTTTTTCACAAAGCCTCTTATCGCTGTTTCTCGGCCGTCTACCTACAAACCCGAAAATATCTCAAAAAGGACCTCTAAACAGAATATCTAGAAAGACCCCTAAAAAGACATTTAAAAGGATATCTCAAAAGACTACTAAAAAACATTATAAGGCCGCATAAGCGGCTAACTATTCTTGGTGTTGATTAGTGATTTGCGATGGGATTATTGCCATGCACCTGCACTCGAAAGCACCATCCCCCCAGTCAAGAGATTTATAATCATATATTGAGTCTCATAATTGAACATCCAGTAGAGCTCAAAGAAAACTTTTCCGTGGTGGTGGGACATTCGTGAAACACAGGTTTTTCATCGCCTTAATGGGAAGTTCCTCCTGCTCTTTTATAATCCGCCGGATAGCGCTGGCCGAGACCCGATGGCTTCAAATGTGCTATCGGGTAGTGCCTCAAAGCACTCGATATTGGGAGAGTCCGAGTCATCGGACATGTCTGAACGCCGGGTTCCCTACATAGTCCTCCGTCATGCCAGCATCGGTTGCTTTGCGTGAGTGACCGGGGGTGGAGGCGGTCACCTTTTCACTCGTGATCACGAGCTTCTCAATTGGCAAATGTGCAACATCCCTTGTTGCACCACGACGGAGGTCATGGGTACTGATGGTCTCCGACTCTCCATGACCCCCGCGGCGTCTCCCATTGCTTTGAGAAAATGATTCATCATCTGGGGTGTCCTTGGCTTTTCAAACTCTGGCCGGTAGTGATCAACGAAGCACACTAACGGCCGCTGTGAATATTAGAATACCAAGAATGCGGACTGCATGAGCCAAATATTCGAGAAAATGGTTCATCATCTGGGGTGTCGCCGACTTTTCGTAGTCTGGCCGGTAGTGATCCACAAAGCACACTAACGGCCGCAGTCAGTATACAAATAACATTCTTCGGTTAAATCGACGTTTCATGTTCTCGAGTACCTCTTCGATACCCGTCTCCGACAGTTGGCCAGTTCTGAATGCAGTGGCCAGGATGAGCTTGATAACGCAAACCAAGTTCCATTCCAGCTTTGGGAGTGCACCAACCCAGTGGTATAGGCGCCAACTCCAAAACCCTATGTTGATGCCGTGGTGCCTAGTTTTGGCCTGGCGGCCTGAATTAAAGACGGGCAGAAGAATTAAATTAACTAGTTACCTGATTTACCATGACTAACACTTCCCTTAACTAATGATCAAAGTAGCCTGATTTTGCTGGCGTTTACAATTCTCAAAAATGAAGCTTTTGATCAGCATACAAATGGAGAGATCTTGAATTTCTTAGGTGGTTTGTAAGTGTCAAAAATATGGAGATACTAAGTAGTTACCTTTCTTCTGCCCGTCTTTAATTCAGGCCGCCAGGCCAAAACTAGGCATCAATGCTTAGGGTGATTTTGCTCGGTGGGATTGCTCTAGTAGGATTGCTCTAGAGGGTTTTGCGCTGGGGGGATTACTTTCGCGGTTCTCGCCGAATGAGGAAAAAGGTGAGGGTAGGAACAGGAAGGTTAGAAGGAGAGAAAGGTAAGAGGTTGCAGAAAGTGGAGTATTTATACATACTCTCTACCTACCTACAAAACTGAGAAGCGGGAGAAAAGATCTCCAAAAAAAGACATCACAAGGCCGCATAAGCGGGCAACTATTCTTGCATGGTACAAGGAGCATCTCGTAGAAGCGACTTCTCCTAGAGTCTTGCTCCTTCCTTATTTCACTAAAGATTTCACCTAGGCACCTTCCTCATCTAACCTTTCCCTTAATTTATCCTCTACCATCTCTTCTTTCACTCTTCTCGCTCTCTACAACAGTGATCATCTCCAACTTTCATCCGATAAGGTATGACCCATTACTCCAAACCTTCCAAGGTTATCCTAAACCTACTAAAACTATATAGTTTCAAAGCTTCGCCGGAAATTTCAGCACCTTCTGTTCCCGTTGATACCTTTTCGGGAAAGCCCATGTTGACCACTATGACCCGGCATTCAGACACGTTCGATGACTCGGACTCCTCCGACGTCGAGTGCTTCGAGGCACTACCCGATCACACATGATGAATCATTTTCTCAAGGCAATGGGAAACACCGTAGGGGTCATGGAGACCATCAGTACCCATGACCTCCGTCGTGGTGCAGCAAGGGATGTTGCACACTTGCAAATGACAAGCTCGTGATCACGAGTGAAAAGGTGACCGCGTCTACCCTCGGTCACTTACTCAAAGCAACCGATGCTGGCGTGACGGAGGACTACTTGAGGGGGGTGGGTAGGAGGGCTTATGGACCCTCCGTGCGTTATACCATCCGCCACGGGATACACAAACAGCCAAATTTCGCAGGAACTCGCATCAAGTCACCTGAAGATGTCACATAATTCATGACACCGAATTTCCATATCAACGTGCTGTTGCACGTCATAAGATCCACAGGCTCCGGCGTAAGCAGTGGCTAATGAGCTAGATGATGTTAAGCTTCATGCAGCTCATCACGCATCGGCATCGCCATTGGTACCGACGGCTACACATCCCACCATTCATCATTCTCCTATCCAATCCCCGGGCGGCATCCACCCGATGCCCACGGATCTGGCGTCTCTTCCGAGCGCCAATAACATCGACCCTACTCCACAGTCATTTTCATCGTCAACAATGGCCGAACACGTGGATTCGGGCAGTGACATGGACACTGACGTACCCAGCGGTATAGGCCCCAGCGGTATAGGCGCCAACTCCAAACTCCAAAATTCTCTCACTATAATCAGACAAAAAGGACCAGTCCTGAGAATCGAGCTGTACAGAGCATTGAGTTCACTAAGCAGTATGAGAACGGTCATCTTCGCCCTTACAGCCGATGGCTGATGCTCTACAAAAGACCTAGAATTGGACAGATCTTATTGGTTTCCCTGATGTGATTGCGCAGGCGGGAACTGGATGCCGCGTTGGCGACATTACCAGAAGACGAAGAAACATCAGAAGGCGAAGCGGATGTGGACCGTTACGCCAAAGGAACAAAGCAAAATTCCTCTGCATTTCAATTGAAGAGGGTACACTGACGAAGGAAGATGAGTCCATTAACCATTCCACTGGATTGCATCAGTACCCACCAGTGGCAAAGATTGTAGAATTTCGGAGAAGGGCAAATGTATCCGGGGTGCTATGTTATTTCTCAACGATATCCTCTCAACTGTCAATTGTCAACGGCAAAGCTTCACTTCAGGTAATGATGCCCCATTGAGTTTAGCGCCCGACGCTCAAGCTACGGCACACGTGACTAGGAATCCCCTCTAGTCACGTGGTCACACGCATAAAGATAAGCTGATAACTCCCCGTCCGCTGAGTGGACATTCGCTATAGGGCAGGCCCCACCGGGGGGCCTTCACAACTTTGGAAGGTTGATATATGAGTGTGATAGCAAAGCTGATTGAGACAAGAATTTCAATGTTGAAAATATTCATGTACTCCCCAAGAGTACTATACCCTCTCATCTGTACTCTTTTTAGTAGTCTGGAGATAGCCCTTTGCCGTGCGGAGAAACCCCGGCGTTTGGGTGGGGTATGCCCCCGTCCCCCGGATTTTATCCGCTCCAAGGTTGTCGGGAGTTTCCACTGATGCATTGACAGCCATATTTTCCTACATCTTTCGTTACAAATGTCAGCTTCGCAGATCAAAGCGATGCCGTCCTATCAGCCGTTCCAATGTCTCGTCTGCCAAAGCCGATTTACTCGACATGAGAACCTCAAGCGACATTCAACGCTACACTCTCGTTCTCAGGCTGAGGCCTCGCTTCCCTGTGATTTTTGCCACGCCACATTCTCCCGTCCAGACTTGCGCAATCGTCATATGAAAAGGAAACATCCAGAACACGAGCAGCATCGAGTGACAAAGAGAGCACAGCGCCAACCCGCACCCAGACAAGACAGGCTGCATTCTTCTGCATCGCCGATAGCGATCTCGCCTACAGGAAGCCTTGGTGGTTTGCCTTCTCCCGGATCCGCACATTCGAGCCCAGGAGAGGAGACGAGGTTCGATAGTGATGCGATCTGGCGCCCAGTGATGCGGTATCAGCAGCAGTATGACCGTGGCCACCCCACGGAAAACCCAAATATTGCTACGCCAAGGACCGGGATAGTCAGAACGCAGCCAACGAGAGAGATGTTGCAACACCAATCGGCGACGAGCGACTCTGCTTTGATCGATCAGATTGTCCAGGACGCTACAGATCTAGAGCGGAGCTTATTATTAGGGACATCCTTCCTAAAGCCTACCAATCACCTTGACAACCAGCTACATCCAATAGCCACCTCACAAGCCGAGCCACTAGATACGAGTCTAGCCGAGTACAGTTTTAATCACCCGATTTTGGATAGATTGTCGCCAAATGACATCCCTCAACTCCAGGACGATTGGGCCCCGACGGCCTTACAAATTTCACGAGGCTGCAATCTATTTTTCAACTCTGTCTCTCATTTCCTCCCTTTTCTCCATTCCTCGACATTTGATCCAACACGAGCTCCTCCTCATTTGGTCCTCAGTATACTTTGCCTCGCCTATCAACATGGCGAGGACCCAGAATGCGGAGACCAAGAAGGCTCAGGCGGAAGCTTTTCTATACGTTGCTTTCATAAAGCTCGAGCTCTCCTTGCTTCCGACGAAGATAGGAATGATGCTACAACAATGATCACCACACTGGTT